CTTCCGGGCGGGGGCGGAGCTTCCGCAGTCTCGCGAGACCCGCTCCCGCCACACGTATATCTGCCCGCGGGAGGCTGTGGGAGGCCGCTCCAGGCTTCCCGCTGACGCGTTGTGGTCCTTCTCGCTCTGCTCCTTGTTGAAGGCAGATTGCGCTTCATGTGGGAAAATTAACGTGAAATTACGCAGCCCGGGGGGGCATGGCTTTAGGAACTTTTTAAGTTTGATTGCAACTTTTCCGTTTAATGAAAAGTTGGGGCGGGAACGCGATTCCTGGCCTTGGGCCTGGGGCGGTGGTTGAGGGCACGGGCGCTGCTGCCCACGAGCCGTTCAGTTTGGCTTCTCCCACCCCAACCCCTGCCTGAGGGTCCCCAAGACGGCCTCTCCTCCTACAGCCCGCCGCCTGCCTGGCGAAAAGGGGAGTCCGAGGCGCACAGAGGGTGCCCTGCAGCCGCCGGGAGCGCCCGCCTGCGCCTGGGGCGGGAAGCCTCCCCTGGCCCTAACCCTGCAGGCCGAACCCCTGAGTCCTAAGTAACCATCTGACCGAGTCAACCCGGATAAAGGGAAAGGGCAGAGGCCCAGCCAGCCCAGCCGAGGGTGTTCGGGGATCGATAGCAGGGAATTGCATTGAAGACCCACAGGCAAGTCCAGAAGACCAGGGAGGCTCTTCCTTAGAGACATAGAGGACCTGCAGGGAGGTCATTTGGAACAGAAGCTCCCTGAGAAGGTGCCAGTGCACATGGCGGCTGCTGATTGGCTGCCACACCTGGAGTTGCTTCCTGTTGATTGGCTGCCACACCTGAAGTTGCTCCCTGTTGCCAGGTGGAGAGGAAATCTTCCCCTTTTGCTGCTGTACCATGCAAGGTACCTACCTGCAGGCGTGCTTTCCTCTCTTGTCCTCCAGGTTCCATTCTGAATGAGTTTTCCTTTATTCACGGTCACAGATAAAAGGGGGGGGGATGAAGATTTTAAATGTGTGTTAGAGCTAACCTTTGTGGTAGTTTGGTTGTCTGGGCCGATGGGCAAGGATGAGCTAGTCATCCATTGGAGGCTCTGGAAATGCCTGCCTGTGTTGCCAAGGGAAGACACGAAATCAAGTAATGTTGAAGAGCGTCTGTAAATCTACCCAGACTAATAAAACATTAACTGGGTAGGAGTTGAGAGGTTTACAATACCCCCGGATTAGGAGAGTAGATGCACAATTTAGATAGCATAATGCAGCCTATCCAAGGGAGGGAAGTGCTATTAAAAAGTTAGAAGTTGTATAAGTTTCTACCATGGGATTTTGGAGGAGAAACAAGTCATTTGTGCTTGGGTTAATCAGGGTAAACTAATGCTAAGTGAAATGGACAAGAGGGGCAAAACAGTGTAAGGAATCAAGCAAAACATATTGTACTTTGAATTCATTGTCATTAGCACCCGAACTAAGCCTTCATGCTGCAGAATTTACCAGTCGACCGAAAAAATACGCAGGAGTACCGGAGGCACAGGAAAAACCCCTTTATTTCCAGACATTTCCCATGTACCGGTCAAGTGACTCAGGGGAGTCTGTTTCTCTCCAAATCCTGACTTATTTCCAGACATTTCCCATGTACCGGTCCAGTGACTCAGGGGAGTCTGTTTCTCTCCAAATCCTGAGCCGCAACATGGAGGAGGCTTTCCCTTTTTATATTCTCTAGGTCCCTTTGTCTCCCAAATATGGAATGGGGCTTCCGGGCCTTTCGGGGCTTTGCAAATAGCCCCAGGTGCTGGGATGGAGCAGTGAGACCACATCTCAAGGCCTGGCCTGGTGCCAGCCCTGATCAGTCCGTCTGGGCATGGTTTATGGCCTCTCCAAAACCCCAACATGGAGGAGGCTTTCCCTCTTTATATTCTCTAGGTCCCTTTGTCTCCCAAATATGGAATGGGGCTTCCGGGCCTTTCGGGGCTTTGCAAATAGCCCCAGGTGCTGGGATGGAGCAGTGAGACCACATCTCAAGGCCTGGCCTGGTGCCAGCCCTGATCAGTCCGTCTGGGCATGGTTTATGGCCTCTCCAAAATGGGAGTAGTATTTTGGGTAAACAGGTCTTGCAGGACCAGATAATTAAAGGGGCAGTGACTAGATTCAGATTGCTAGCCCCCCAAAAATGTCTCATTTTCCCCACCATTAGTATTCTTGATACAAGCACAGGAGTCCAGCAAACAACTGTGCAAAACAATACATGAAAAGTTAGTCTCAGCGCCCACTGCTCTCTATGTAGCCGCTTCCTGATTCTGAAAGCATTTGCATTTCTTCTGGCCAAAAAGAGCCTGGACTTTGTTGGCCTACTATTGCTGTTTTGAAGTTCAGGAAAACAAAGGAGAGGAACCCATTTTGGTGGACTGGGGCAGGGCTCCTGTAAACCAAGAGTCCGTTGGAGGAAATGGAAAATTGGAGGTATACTGGGTATATTGGTTTCTCACTCGCGGAGTTCTGGCAGTCTCCCATTGGCTGACCTGTTCCTGGACTAGGGGAATGTGCTTCCTGCTGAGATAGTGATGTACCACTTCCTGTCAGAGATGTAAGGTGTATGTCTTCCTCTTGGGGTCAGTAGTGTGTGTTAAGTGACATGTGCATGAGAGTTCTTTCCTGGAGCCTCTGGACTTCATTTTAAATGAGGTTTCTGATTATTGATTTTTATACTACTAAGCCCACTCTTTTCTCCAAAATTCTGCTCTCCTTGCTTGAAAT